CATGGTGCGGTGTAGCGTCGCGGCAGAGCGATGTGTTGCAGCCGTGTGTTGCGGCAGGGGGTTGCAGTGGCATCTTAATATATATGAATTGAATAGTATATATACATGTAAATCTTCCTTTAAAATTGTAAAAATCTTTAATAAAATTTGATTAAAACAAATTTAATAACTCATAAATTTATCTTATTGCGTTTTTTTTAATATTCATATCGGATGCATTAATTAACTAATTAAATAATCAACAATGAACGTGGCCTTGCCCCCCTAAAGTCACATGTTTAGTAGGCGAGCATCTTAATTGTAAGATAAGAGAAGTCCGTCCCAATGAGATGACAATGACACAATGCTAACCATTTTGTCACTTCTTCTGTGAAAATTAATGTGAGAGTTTAGATATGATGGAATTGCATATTTAGTTCATTGTCACACCAATCACTGCCAAGGACTTTTATTTTTGAATGGAATTGAGTTTTGACAAAGATTTTTGAGGCTTTACAAGCAACCATCCTGATATCTTCAACAACTTGAAGAGGCAATTTTGGTCTTTAAATACATGCCACTCAATTTCTATATTTTCACCAATCAAATTTTAATATCAACTGATAGATAACAACCATTTCTAACTTTTTTTTAAATGGACAACAACCTGTTTTTTTAATAATATTTCTGTGTGCCACTGCAACGCCCTGCCGCGATGCACGGCTGCAACGCATCGCTCTGTCGGGACGCTCCACCGCAACATGTTGCCTCACTGCGGCGCCCCTCTTCGTCGCTTCGTTGCAACGAGTCACCGCAGCCCCCCGCCACACCTCGCGTCGCCGCGACGCACCTCCGCAACGCGTCGCCGCGATACATCATTGTAACGCTTTGCCGCTACGCACCGCTGCAATGCATCGCTCCGCCGCGAAGCTTAGCCGCAACGCTCCACCGCAACACGTTACCTCACCGCGACGCCCCGCCACGACGCTTCGTCGCAACGCGTCGCCGCAACGCACAATGGCAACTCGCCACCGTGGCACACAGCCTCAATGCATCGAGTCGACCCGACGCCCCGCAGCAACGCTTCGCCGCGACGCACCGCCGCAACACGTCGTCGCGACACATCACAAAACGCGTCGCCGGGATGCACCGCCGCAGCGCATCGTCACAAAACCCCGCCGCAACACGTTGCCGTGACTCTGCCCCTCTCATTTAATCCTATTTATAGGCTCAAAAAGAACTAACCCGTTAAAGACTACATTAATTAAAAACAATTAAGAGAAACAACTGTTTTTCATTAAAAAAAAAACATATATATATATATATA